CTCCTTCTTCTCCTTCTTCTCCTTCTCCTCCTTCTTCTCCTTCTCCTCCTTCTCCTCAGGTAGTACTTTCCTCCACTGAACCCCTATGGACCCACCTGCTGGAGTCGCTCTCTGAGGGTGGAATTTGGGAACTTCTCTCCTAGACTAGTGATCTTCAAATTATCCTGTGGACCCCTAGGGACTCCATGAGTGTGACTCAAGGGCCATTATAGGAAGATGGGGACAAGGAACCCAAGAAGCCACAGTCCTTCTTCAAGTAATGGAGAACGTCTGTTGTCTGTTTAGTGTATTATGCTTCTATACAACATTTTCCAGTTCCACTATGCTCTCTTGTGATCTTGGACAACTTGTTTATTTTCTTTGTGCCTCTCTCCCTTTATTTGTAAAGTCTTGATAGTAATAGTATTTATCTAACATAGTTTTTAAAATTTAAATAAGTTAATAGCCATATAACAGTTCCAAAACTACTTGACACATAATTAGTGCTCAGTAAATATTATTACTGTTATTGCTATTGTCATTAAACAAAGTATTTTGCTGTTAAAAAGAAAAGTTTAAAAATGTGGATAGAGGCCATTCAGTAAGGGAATCACCTCTGCAGAGTCCCTGAGAAGTATTCATTTGACCTCCACTGAGACACTTAAAAAGATAAGATTCTCATTACCTCTAGTCATTATGAAACATTACTGATCATCATAAAGTTCCTTTTGTGATAACATGCCAGTATGTATTATTTCCAGTATGGCCACAAAGATACACCATTTGCTTATTTTAAGATACTTCTTAGGTGTTTTCTGAGTCTTTTCTTTAGACCACAGTCACTGTCATTCTCTCCACTATCATGATCATTATCATCAAATACCAAAATTTGTTAAGAGCTTTCTATGTTCCAGACCCTGGACAAGAACTTTACAAATACACCCTCATTTGAAACTTACAACAAGCTTATGATGGTGGTACCATTAACTTTATTTTGTAAGCTTAAAGTATTTGACACTTGTTAAAATGGTAAGGAAGGTGTCACTCAAGGTATAAATCTTGAAAGCTCCTATTGCAATAGGAGAGAGAGATTGGGCTCAAGTCTGCATAAAACAAGTGAGGATTTTTAGCCAAGAAGCAAGTTGAGGGGGTCAGTAGATGGAAAATTATTAATGAGAGTTACCAAGAATAGGAAGATTCTTGCTAAAGGCTGGCCAAGGACTTATATATTAAAAGTGGGGAATGAATAACTTGATCAGATATCAAGAGTGATCAGATATCAATGGTAGGGAGATGACTTATCAGGATTCTATGCCAAGACTGAAAGGGGCAGGCCGAAGACACAAGATGGAGGGGAGGTGGGGAGCAAGGTTAAGGCCGAATCAAGAAAAGGACTCAGAGCAGCCTAACTACAGTTCAGTCAAGAACAAAGTCCTTGTCAAGCTATAATGAAGACAGTGGCAAAGTTTCTCATTGTTCATGGTATGCCCAAGTTGTAATATAGTTTCTAAGAGTAAATGCTCATTAATATTTACTGAATGATTAAATGAACATTAAGAAACCAAGGCTACTAAGAGTTCAATAACTTACACCAAGTCATGAAGGGAATGGTGAAGCTGGCAATGAATTCAGCTCTACAAGACGCTTAGAATTTCAACTCTCAGTAATATAATGATGCCCACCCCCCAGACCAGCACAGGTTCCAGGTGTCTTTATCCTTTTGAAGCGAAACAGTTGTGAGTTTCAATCTCTCAGTCTTTGGCACTACTTCCACTAGTGGTATATACAGTGTCTTCCAACTCTGTCTCCCCAAACTGCAAGAGCTGCTTTCAAGGTCTTCTCACAGAGTCACTGTATTGAAAATTGGCACATGCCAAAATAAGTGTCCTTGTAGCCTTTATCAGAGATTTCAAATGAAACATGGTTTGATAAAGCACAATTAAACCTATTTAAACCATGGCCAAATGATTGGTGAGCTTGTCTGTTAAAAATGATTGTATTAGTGTAAGATGTCACTGGCCTCGCATGTAACCATGGCCCAGGCAAAGTCAACATCTCATTCTTGAATCATCAGGCTGTGTTTTGAGGACTAGAAAATCATGGCCAAAGCTTTAGGGACAGTCCAGCCACTGCAGTCAACAAATCCACTACTGGCTAAGATGGTCACAGAGCTTTTTATTATTGCCCTTGAGTAGTCCCTTCTCCCAAGTGCCCTTGATAAAGAGGCTTCCACCAGAGATCTGGCAGGTAAATGAGGTGTGACTGCTCACCAGCTCCACCCACTGTTCCATCTTCTCAGATTTAGATTCTTGGGAAAATTATCCCCCCTGCTAAAGAGCATCAATCATTGCTTGTTTCTGCCGAATCAAGACTTGGGTGTTGAGGCACCTGGGTGGCTCAGCCTGTTAAGCATCCAACCCTTGATCTTGGCTCAGGTCATGATCTTGGGGTCATGGGATTGAGTCCCGTGACAGGCTCCATGCTGGGTGTGGAGCCTGCTTGAGATTCTCTCTCTCCTTGTCCCTCTGCCCCGCTCCCCCCACCCCCCAAAAAAGACTTGGGTGTTGATACTTTTTCTCTGTACCCAGTCTGGAGTCTCATCTGGCAACATTTCCTATCTGGTGTCAGAAGAAAGAGGGGAAACCGGGAAAATGTCTGAACTTAGAAGGCTGCCATGCTGATGAGTGTTCCTGGAAGTAGTACAAAGATGAATATGTAATAAACCCAGTTGAAATTACTTAACTTCTCTGTCACTTCATTTTCTCATCTGTAACACAAAGAAAATGGTAATAACTATCCAATAGATTTGTTATGAAGATCCAATGGTATAACAGATGTGAAAGTACTCAAACTCTCAAGTATGTAAAGAAATAAGGAAATAACAACAGCTTTATTGGGTTCTATTATCTATTAAAATGCTATGAGCAACTATTTGATTTCACAGTAAAAGAATTCCCACACTGGCGAATGTTTCTGACCTCTTCCCATGATTCTGTTTCTGGAAATAGCTATCTCATAATCGAGGCAGGAACTCTTGACAATATATAAGGCAGGACCCAAGTGGGCTGAGCAGACACCAGAAAGTCATTTGTTTTGCCACCATCTGACCGCGCTTGGCCACTTCAGCAGCATGAAAGCAACAGCTTGTGCCCTGCTCTTGGCTCTGGCACTTATGACCATCTTCAGTAAGTATCTCCCTCATAATACCACCCCTATCCTGATACTAGCAGCTCATGTCATCTTTTGCTCACATCATTCTGGGATATACACAGCACGTAGATAATAAGAGAAGCTTTTTGAAATGTATTTCTTTTGTCTCTACCAATAAATTGTTAAATGATACCGTCTTCGGGGCTGAGTTGACCTAAATGGTCAGCTAAGGCCAAATTCTTAACCACACAAACATTTTGTATAACTTCTTTGGTAAGTGTACATCCAGACTCTGCTTTGACTTGATATCTCCATTTATGGGGACCTCATTTCTTTATAAAACTGTCCCATCGACTGAGGGTAGCAGAAGGGGAGGTGGGTCGGGAGATGGGATAACTGGGTGATGGGCATTAAGGTGGGCACGTGATGTGATGAGCACTGGGTGTTATATGCAACTGATGAATCACTGAACACTACATCTTAAACGAATGATGTACTGTATGTTGACTAATTGAATTTAAATTTTTTTTAAAAATGTCCCATCCATTGTTTGGCAGCATGAGCTATTATTATTTTTGCATTGAGTTGAAATCTGCTTCCTAAGAATTTTCAGCTGCTGGTCCAGCTTCTGCCATCTATGCCTACTACACAATAGCAGACATTCACTAGATATAAAACCACTTCTTTTTTTCAATATTTCCTAAACTCTGATTATGAGGTAGGAAAGAACAAAACTCATCATTATAGTAGCTTCTCCATGCTTTTGGCTATGTTCTCATCCCATCCAAAAAAGAAAAAAAAATCTATGTTGAGCTTCAACCTTTGCTATTATATTGATACACAGTTCTGAAGACAGTCTTATATTTTTGATAGTCTGAGAGCTGAAACATAAATGAAAGACCCTTTTTTTTTTAACAAGCTTAGGTTCTTCCAGAGTTTAATTTGGTTTCTCTTGTCTTTGTTTTTCTCACAGATGTAGAATGTGCTGCACACCCTCAACAGGTCAGTACATCCATCTTGATATAAAAGTCCCACTTCTATGTAATTTTAAAGCCGGTATCAATAAGGAAATATTTGCTACTTTACATTAATTGAATTGCTACATGTTTGATGATTTTTTTAACTCTCAAAACTGATTTTATTTTAAAAAACTATTAAGAGACGTTTCTGAAATGGACATAGTAGAACAAAGTGGTTCGATACCTAGCATCTGAGTTATAAAGTCCTGGGTTTGAATTCCAGCTCCTTGATCATACGGCCATGGGCAACAATACTTGCCTCATAAGCTTATTGTGAGGATTAAAACCTCAGTGTTTGAAGAGAGTTGAGCACAGTACCTGGCACCTAGTAAAGCTCAAGAAGGACAAGTCATTCTTATATGATTCTTATAATTGTTAAATGGGTCACATACATCTTTGTTCTTTATCTTAGGGAATGAAGATTTTAATTTAACCTTCCCTTTATGACTCATATTAAGCAGTAACTATTGTTGAGAAAATCTAGGTGTGGTAGTAAAAACTTTAAAACCAGGAGTCCAAGCTCAATGGCTTTTTAGCTGTATGCCCGCAGGGCCTAGGCAGCTCCTTTCACTTCTTTTGAGTCTTTCATTTTACGTATTAAAGAGAATAAGAGGGTGAAGAGTGTAAATTTTGGAGTCATACAGTCCTGACTCCAAGCCATCCTTCATGATTTAGTAGCTGCTTGAGAATGAAAAAGGTTAATGAATATGAAGCCTTGGTAGTTTCTGGTCAAACTATGCATGTGACGTAAGTCCCAACACTGGGATTTGAGCAGGCAAGAAGTGAAATCATGCTGACATATACTCATCAAGGGGCACCATCATTCCCATTCTCCACTAGACTCCACCAGCTTCTGAGCTCCTTCTGCCATTTTATCATGCTTGCTAATCTTTGTGTAGCCATCCCCTCAGCCCTAAAACTTAGAAGGTACATGGCATATGGCAACCAAAGGAATGAATGGGTTAATTAATGGAACATAGCTGAAGGGGAAGATGAATTTAACCTGAAGTTTGGGTATATTTCAGGCTACCCAAGTGGAGATATTCAACAATTAGTAAGACATCACACGTGGAACTCTGAGTCAGAAAAACTGGAAATGTAAAGTCTTCTGTATAGAGCTAGAGTTTGTGTAGTCCTGAACGTAAAGCCAAGGGATAAAACTAATATTTTTTCAGTATTTTCCATGTCATTAAGTGCTAAGCATTTTACACGTATCTTCTTGATTATATATTTTTTACTTTAACCTTACAATGTAGTTATTACCGCCCTTACTTTGCAGGTAAAGAAACCAAAGCTTAGAGAAGTAAAATGATGGTCCCAGGGTCATATAGTCAGGATTTGAAATCTGATGTGTTTGACTTTTACTGTCCACACTCTTCAATTTGCTCATAGGTGAAAACCCCAGAAAACTCTGTCTTGGTGATTGCATACCTGCTCCTGCCGGGGACTTCACGTTGGCTTTGCTCCTAGCATTTACAACAGTGGTTGCTTCTCAACTACAAGAGCAAAATACATGTGTCTGTCTATGCACTGATGAAGTGTGTAACACGTGCTTTGTGATCAATGATTAATGGTAAAAGTTGCTAATGATGTGCTAGTTCTTAAAACTATAGGAAGTATCCCTATAATACATCTCATACTTGCATTCAGATAGAACTTTTTAAGGGAAAGAGAGAAATAGCAGGATGTGTAGAAAACTAACATCGTGGGAATGATTACATCTGTGAGTCTGCCATGTGTATTTTTAAATTTAAATTCTTAATTTTTAGGTAAGTTATTTGGTTACAAGCTACCATAAACAGGTTTATCACTCATGATTTTATATCTGATGCAAGAAATCTTTATACTTGATATATCTCAAAGGGGTTAGATGGGGACAATTAGAATAAGAAACAAATGATTTGAGAGCCCTCTAAACTCGCTTGGGAAATCCTAAATCCTGGGAATAAAAATTTGGTTGAGGGCTTTTAATATGTATTTCCAGGTTGACTGCAGTAAATATAAAAAAGTCACCACCAGGAAAAGAGGGATTTTGTCATGAAATATATGCACCAATTTGTGGATCTGATGGCAAAACTTACCCTAATGATTGCTTCTTCTGTTTTGAAGTTCAGTAAGTATTGAAATATTTTTCTTTTCTATATTTAATGTGTAATTAAGTGTTATGACAAATATACCTCAATTAGAAGAAGTGGTTTAGGGCACAATGAATATGTAAATATGATGAATACATAGAATTTGGGGTCCCTAGTGTCTTTGGATCTGTGGGTGTTCTGGCAGTAAGAGTAAATCAAAGAACCCTAGAGTCTGTAAGTTGGAAGGAAATTTGAGGGTCATCTAGTTCAATGTCCACCTACGAATCTATTATTTGAATTCCCTTACAAAAAACTCAAGTCATCCCAAAGTGTGTGCTTCATTATTTCAAGGGACAAGGAACATCTCTCCTCCTAGGCATGCCAGGCCAGTCATCTGTCAGAATGAATCGTATCTATTGTTCAGTTTTAATAATTAAGTTTAGATGTGTTAGAGCCCCCTAATTATTGGCACAAAAGGGGATAATATCTAAAAATCCTAAAGAAATTTTTGTTTCAGAGTGTGATTTCTCAACAAAATATGTATTGAAGCTCTAAATTTAATAAAAATTAAATTTGAAAATCAAATAGCCAAAAATAGGTTACAAAGTAATCATCTGAAAGATATATTAGTACCAGCTCAAAAAATATAAGATGGTACATGATATACTATAATGTATAGAAACATATAGATCCTTTTAAGTATTTTCAATACTTGCATGAATGAAAACAAACACCTAATATAGATGGCATATTATTCTGATTTGTTTTTTTATCAGAAAAAAATTACTTTTTTTAGAAGATTTTATTTATTTGAGAGAGAGACGGGAGAAGGGGGTGGGGGCACAGAGGGAAAGGGACAAGCAGACTCCCCACTGAGCATGGAGCCAGACACGGGGCTCGATCCCAGGACCCTGAGATCATGACCTGACCAGAAGGCAGATGCTTAACAGACTGAGTGACCCAGGCGCCCCCAGTCACTCCCTCCTTTTAAAAACATCAATGAGTGGATAGACTTGGGGATTCATTAGTGAATGCTAATTAGTTCTGGATGCTAATAAAATGCCTATGGCCTCAACAATTTTCATTTGTTGCTATTTTCTCTCCACAGAAAAACTGACAACAAACTTAAATTTGTTCATTTTGGAAAGTGTTGAATCTATCTTGTGATTCCAGTTCACACGAAACACACTTCTCCCATATAACCTATGCCGCAGTGCTTAATCTTGTCACCATTATGTCTGGATTTCCTTGTAGGATAAAGTAGACCTACATGAAATAAACATGTCTGACTCTTTTTATTTAGGAGTTGAATCCTCCAGATGTTTCACTTTTGGGTGATGTCTAATGGACCACCTTAGAGCCACATCCTGGGAGAAAAGGGTCAACTAAGACCAGTAGCGGGACCCAGAAAATCAAAGGACCTGAATCTGATGCCTTTTTCTTTTATTTTTTTAAAGATTTTATTTATTTATTTGACAGAGAGATAGCAAGAGCAGGAACACAAGCAGGGGGAGTGGAAGAGGGAGAAGCAGGCTTCCTGCCAAGCAGGAAGCCCAATGTGGGGCCCGATCCCAGGACTCTGGGATCATGACCCGAGCCGAAGGCAGACGCTTAACAACTGAGCCACCCAGGCGCCCCTCTGATGCTTTGTTCCTGCCCAGGCTAGGAAAACACCCCTGTGCATAACTTAGTTCTTGTGTATTCCTGAAACATGAACAGAAAAAAACAGGAGCCTCCAAGTACAAGAATCAGGAAATACTGTTTTGCTAGATGTTTCATATGTTTAAGACATGAAAGCTGCCCTAGACGGCTCTTTATTTTCTACCAGAATACATGTTTGTAAAATGTGGCTGGTCAAACGTGCCCAGTAAAGCTGTGTAAATTCCCATGAATTAGTTGACGTCTTTCATGAGTCTTTTCCCCCCTAAAGTTTTTTTTTAATTTAAATTCAATTAGCCAACATATAGCACATCATTAGTTTTTGATGTAGTGTTCAGTGATTCATTAGTCGTGTATAATACCCAGTGCTCATCTCATCACGTGCCCTCCTTAATGCCCATCACCCAGTTACCCCAACCCCCCACCTACCTCCCTTTCTGCAACCCTCAGTTTGTTCCCCAGAGTCAAGAGTCTGTCATGATTTATCTCCCTCTCTGATTTCTTCTCATTCAGTTTTCCCTCCCTTCCCCTATGATCCTCTGCATTATTTCTTATATTCCACATATGAGTGAAACCATATGATAATTGTCTTTCTCTCTTTGACTTATCCCCCTAAAGTTTGATCTCAGATCTAGGACCTGAAACTTCTCTGATCTCACCATTCATTATATTATATGTTTCAAAAAACATATTATTATATGTTCCGAAGATCATATTGTCCGTTCCAAAGAACAGAGAGGATGCCTTTGCACATCTTTTTAATCCATTTGTGCACCTCTGCAATTAACATATATCTTCTAATGCCTACTTTGTGTCAATATCTGTGATAGGCTTTGGAGCATACAGTGGTAAATAGAATAGACTTGATCTTGCCCTCTTGGAGCTTATATTCTGGAGAAGAATTTGCCATGCTTAGTATAGCGTCTTGTACAGAACTGATATTATGCAAATGTTTATTAACATTGAATCAAAATTAAGCAACATTTCAATTGGATTATTGCAGCACATTATGCACGCATTTAACATATGAAAATCTAACTATATATTCTCTGCAAAGAGGGAAAAAGAGAAAATAAAGTCCTTTTGAGCTGTGTTTTTGTCCACAAATCCATTAGAGATTCAGACACCAAGACTGACCACAAAATGACCTATGCTAATTTCCAAAGAATTCAAGTAGAGTGGTGTTCTCTGGGTGGTTTATTTTCTTTTGTTTTCTCTTTCACTTTTTGTTGTTGCTGTTGTTTCCTGAATGATGTGAGACCATCACTAGGACTACTTAAAAGCACTCTTCAAAGAAACTTTTTAAGGAAATGGAAAATACTGACTTAGACTTCATTTGTCTTTTCACCAAATATTAAATATCCACTCTTTGCTAGATGCTAGAAATGTATCAGTGAGCACACAAATATAAAAATTTATCCTTCCTTCATGAAGCTTTAAGGTTATATAGGAGGAATGATGTTAACAAAATATCAATCAAATATATATATAAATTAGACTAACTAGGGCAATCAGGAAAGACCTCCTGAGGCCCTCCTGAGTTGATTTATAAGCAAAAACCAAATGATGGGTAGAAGTCAGGCAAAGGAAAATGGAGGCAGGAGTGGAGATGGGTGGAAGGAGGAGGCAGTAGCCAAGGGATTGAGAGACAAGAAGCATCATTCCAAGCAAAGAGAGCAGCAGGAGACTGCAACATAACAAACCAGCACAGACAGTTATTGGCCAGTTCATGTTTTTCAGCCACTCTTCCTCCCAAGCCTCCCTACTATCCATTGCCCACAATCCATTTCCAACTGTCTCCAGAGTGATAGTTCTCAAACATAGATCTTATCTTGTCATCTCCCTGCTAAAATCACTTTAGTGAGTCTCACTGCCTGTAAGTCCATCAGTGCTGGCTCTCCAGCCTCATCTCTCTCCATTCTACATTATAAATGGACTGGTCACCACTCTCAGACCCCTCCAGGCACTTTGCAGTTGTGCACATGCTGGTCCCTCTTCCTCCAATTTTCTTTCCCACTTCGCCATCTCACCAATTTCCGCTCATTAAAAAGATTCATCCCTAATGCTCTCTTCTCTAAAAAGCTCCTATGTATTCTCTAACGAGTGTCTCCTATGTATTCATTCATTCATGTAATCCTCCCAGATTATCAAGCATCATAGTATATTCTCATTAATTTGTTAGCATCTGTTTCTTTTGCTATACTGTGAGATCATAGCTGGCATGCTGCAGGTATTTGATGAATGCATAATAAACTAACTGAATTAAATTAAGATGAATTGAATTTGACTTCTATCAACAAGTAAGCAAGGAACATGGTGTCTTATCTGAGATAACCCTGAAGTCAGATGTCACCTCCTGATCCAACTGTGGCACAAGACTATACGACATGTTTGCATTCTGCACCAACCCAAACTCTGGAATGCATTTTCAAGTTCCCATAAAAAGGATCCACAGATATACAAATAAGAGAGAGCAATGGCTGCTTTTCCAGAGATCGTGGGGGAGTGACTTAAGTGGTAGTCACCTTGCTCACCTACAGCCTAAAACTCCCCATTGCATTCCTATCCTCTACAGCCATCTCTTGAAACACCACCTTGCAAATCCTTGTCATTTGTACCATGGAAAGGAAAAGGAAATTGACATAAAATTTTAAAGATGCACAAATAAAAGAAAAGAAAAGCAATTAAATCCATTTGCTAAAATCTGTTGCTAGAACTGAAGCCTACTCACATTCTAAGAAATCTCATTCTGTTTCATTTTTAATTAGTTCTTTCTCATAGTTCAGCAAAGCAGGCACTACTACAGGCAATAAACCAGTGCCTCTCAAACAGGTAACTACTGTCTCTCTGGGAGAACAAAGGAAAGTTGAGCACAGACTTTGGAATTTTAATTGACAATGATAGTACAGATCAAGGAAGTGGAAGCTAGAGCTACAAAAACATTCCTTAGCAAAACCTATCTGCAGGGACACATCCTGAAAACTTTTCCGAACTTCTTAAGAAAAGGAACTCTGAACTGAAGTCAATTGAAGTTAAGCCTTTTATGAGTGCCTGCTGAAACGCTGCTGGAAAAGAATTACTGAGGTTGTGAAAGATGCCTCTGGGGAGCTCAGGAAACTATCCAATTGTTCCACTTGCCAAACTCCTGGGTGCTGATTTCCTGGGATGTGAGTCATTTAATGCTCAAAAATAGGCTCTGTGGCTAAAACAACGAAGGCCAGGAGCAGCCCAGCCCGACTGACTCATCAAAGAGTAAGCCTGGCTTCTGGGTTTCATTCTTCTTCTGCCCCATTGTTCCTGAATTTCATTGCATAAGCCCCAGACCCCTGTTCTGACCAAGGCAGCTTCCCCAGCCTGAGGCCCTGTCTGTAACCCGTCCAGCAGCCCAGCCCTCTGCTCTTGCACTTCTAGCTTGTGCTCTTTGCTGCTCTTCTCTTCTCCACTCTACCTGGAGCCTAGTGGCAGGCATCCCAAAATATTGGCAGACATCTGTTGTGTAGTTGTCCTGTCTCTGTTTGGACTGTCTATCAGGGCTCCAGTTCTTTCTTGTTTATCTATGGGGCCCATGGATTGCCTGAACCACCATCTGTTTGCTGCCACACCCTTTAGATATTGCCGTGTCCTCCATGTCAGGTGAAATTATTTGTGAAGCCTCTGCAATATAATGGTTAAGATGGTGATCATTTGGCAATATATACGATTATCGAATCTTTATGTTTAATATCTAAAACTAATATGATGTTATATGTCAATTATATCTCAATTTTTTAAAATTTCAAAAAGAGAAGGAAAAAAACCTTAAGGAAATTAAAAAAAAAAAAAAAAGGGATATGTGGCTTTGGGAACAGAGAGCCCTGGGATTAAATCTAGATTTGCAACTTCTGAGTAACCTTGAGTTCCTGGTTGAAACTGAGTTTCAGTTCCTGCATTTTGAAGTGGGGACAGGAACAGTTCCTTATGGCCTGGTGTGAATCAACCTATAATACAATACATAATACTGTGCTTGGCACATAATTAGCAAACAGTGAATGAATGATTTCGGAAACAGTAACAACAAAAATCTGTGGTCATCCTAACTTTGTCTCCTAAGCGCAACAGGTAGGCTCTGGCTTTTCATTGTCTTCTCCCCAGTTCCACCCTAGCACAAGGCCACCCTTGCCTGACCCCTGCCTGAGCGGCTCCTGAGAGAACACTGTGGACCTCCTGTTAGAGCAGATCATCATTGTTACAGCCACAGAAGGCAGTAGAGTGGTTTGGCTGCAATGAAAATATACTCCCACCGGGGACTTTGGGAAGATTTTTAAGTTATTCTCATTTTGGTTAAAAAAAAGGAGGAAAGAAAAAGAAAAAAATATGTGTCTTCTGGTTTGGGGTCCCCTGAGAACAGAGGATTGGATCCTATTTATCTTTTTGTCTAAAATGGATATTTATTTGTTTCTCCACTGCCTGACATAGAGTAGGCAGCCTGACATATATACACAATTTTTAAGCTGTC